TGTCACCAAAGGCAGTGGAGTTGCCTTGGACTTACACTGGTGTAACTTAGGTCAGAATCAGGCCCTGTAACTCTGTAGAGGAGCTAACTGATGATGCAGGTAAATGAACAGGTTCACATGGAAAAAGCACTTGCTTACAAGTCCTGAGATTTTCCTAGCTAAACTATTGTCAAGCTGTGAGATAAGGCCAACAATTTGCAGAACACTGCCTTCCAATTTCTAATACACTACTTGTTTTTAGCTGTTTATTCTGGTGGAGGAGGGCGGGGGGCGGGGTGCTCAGGTTTTTGTAGAGTGGGTTGTCCTCCCTTCCTTTAATGAGCACCAGTTCTACTTTACAAAACGCAGCTTAATCTTTGGAAAAAGAAGTCAAATGATAGGTTTTTTTCCCCTCTAATGCACTTACACCTGTATTTTGTGTCTGTACCACACAAACTGGCAGGGTTAAACAATATTAGATAATTGTACCTGTCGTACACTGCACACTGTGCTTTGGGGGAGACAATTAATTGCTGGGCTTTTTGCCTGCAGGTTAAGCAGTGATCCCATCATTTGACTGGGAGCATGCCATTTTCCCTCCCATTCTATACTGCATTCAGCCAAGCAGTGTGAAAGGATTCATGTACAGCTGCGCTGTGTGAGTGGGCGGGCATCTCATTCAGTAATAACTTCTAATTTATACAGCCATGAATATCTACAGCTATAAATAAACAGTTCTGACTGGCTTTGCAAGCCTACTCAAAGTAGAGAGAGAAACATCATCTTGGCTTTTTCAGAGTAGCAGCCCTGTTAGTCTGTATTAACAAAAAGAAAAGGAGGACTTGTGGCACCTTAGAGACTAACAAATTTATTTGAGCATAAGCTTTCATGAGCTACAGCTCACTTCATCGGATGCATTCAGTGGAAAATACAGTGGGGAGATTTATATACATAGAGAACATGAGACAATGGGTGTTACCATACAGACTGTAACCAGAGTGATCACTTAAGGTGAGCTATTACCAGCAGGAGAGCGGGGGGGGTGGGGTGGGGGAGGGAAACCTTTTGTAGTGATAATCAAGGTGAGCCATTTCCAGCAGTTGACAAGAACGTCTGAGAAACAGTGGGGGGTGGGGGTGGGGGGAAATAAACAAGGGGAAATAGTTTTACTTTGTGTAATGACCCATCCACTCCCAGTCTCTACTGAAGCCTAAGTTAATTGTATCCAGTTTGCAAATTAATTCCAATTCAGCAGTCTCTCATTGGAGTCTGTTTTTCAAGTTTTTTTGTTGAAGAATTGCAACTTTTAGGTCTGTAATCGAGTGACCAGAGAGATTGAAGTGTTCTCCGACTGGTTTATGAATGTTATAATTCTTGACGTCTGATTTGTGTCCATTTATTCTTTTACGTAGAGCCTGTCCAGTTTGACCAATGTACATGGCAGAGGGGCATTGCTGGCACATGATGGCATATATCACATTGGTAGATGTGCAGGTGAACGAGCCTCTGATAGTGTGGCTAATGTGATTAGGCCCTATGATGGTGTTCCCTGAATAGATATGTGGACACAGTTGGCAACGGGCTTTGTTGCAAGGTTAGGTTCCTGGGTTAGTGGTTCTGTTGTGTGGTGTGTGGTTGCTGGTGAGTATTTGCTTCAGGTTGGGGGGCTGTCTGTAAGCAAAGACTGGCCTGTATCCCAAGATCTGTGAGAATGATGGGTCACTACCAGCACTTCCAGCTATCTTCGAGACACCACTGACTTCCTGAGGAAACTACAATCCATCGGTGATCTTCCTGAAAACACCATCCTAGCCACTATGGATGTAGAAGCCCTCTACACCAACATTCCACACAAACATGGACTACAAGCCGTCAGGAACAGTATCCCCGATAATGTCACGGCAAACCTGGTGGCTGAACTTTGTGACTTTGTCCTCACCCATAACTATTTCACATTTGGGGACAATGTATACCTTCAAATCAGCAGGACTGCTATGGGTACCCGCACTGCCCCACAGTATGCCAACATTTTTATGGCTGACTTAGAACACGCTTCCTCAGCTCTCGTCCCCTAATGCCCTTACTCTACGTGCACTACATTGATGACATCTTCATCATCTGGACCCATGGAAAAGAAGCCCTTGAGGAATTCCACCATGATTTCAACAATTTCCATCCCACCATCAACCTCAGCCTGGACCAGTCCACACAAGAGATCCACTTCCTGGACACTATGGTGCTAATAAGCGATGGTCACATAAGCACCACCCCATACCGGAAACCTACTGACCGCTATACTTACCTACATGCCTCCAGGTTTCATCCAGACCACACCACACGAGCCATTGTCTATAGCCAAGCTCTACGATACAACCACATTTGCTCCAAACCCTCAGACAGAGACAAACACCTACAAGATCTCTATCAAGCATTCTTACAACTACAATACCCACCTGCTGAAGTGAAGAAACAGATTGACAGAGCCAGAAGAGTACCCAGAAGTCACCTACTACAGGACAGGCTCAGCAAAGAAAATAACTGAACGCCACTAGCCATCACCTTCAGCCCCCAACTAAAACCTCCCCAATGCATCATCAAGCATCTACAACCTATCCTGAAGGACGACCCATCACTCTCACAGATCTTGGGAGACAGGCCAGTCTTTGCTTACAGACAGCCCCCCAACCTGAAGCAAATACTCACCAGCAACCACACCCCACACAACAGAACCACTAACCCAGGAACCTATCCTTGCAACAAAGCCTGTTGCCAACTGTGTTCACATACCTATTCAGGGAACACCATCATAGGGCCTAATCACATCAGCCACACTATCAGAGGCTCGTTCACCTGCACATCTACCAATGTGACATATGCCATCGCGTGCCAGCAATGCCCCTCTGCCATGTACATTGGTCAAACTGGACAGGCTCTACGTAAAAGAATAAATGGACACAAATCAGACGTCAAGAATTATAACATTCAAAAACCAGTCGGAGAACACTTCAATCTCTCTGGTCACTCGATTACAGACCTAAAAGTTGCAATTCTTCAACAAAAAAACTTGAAAAACAGACTCCAACGAGAGACTGCTGAATTGGAATTAATTTGCAAACTGGATACAATTAACTTAGGCTTCAGTAGAGACTGGGAGTGGATGGGTCATTACACAAAGTAAAACTATTTCCCCATGTTTATTTCCCTCCACCCCCCACTGTTCCTCAGACGTTCTTGTCAACTGCTGGAAATGGCTCACCTTGATTATCACTACAAAAGGTTTCCCTCTCCCTCCTCCCCCCCCCGGCTCTCCTGCTGGTAATAGCTCATCTTAAGTGATTACTCTGGTTACAGTGTGTATGGTAACGCCCATTATTTCATGTTCTCTATGTATATAAATCTCCCCACTGTATTTTCCACTGAATGTATCCGATGAAGTGAGGTAGCTCACGAAAGCTTATGCTCAAAAAAAATGTGTTAGTCTCTAAGGTGTCACATGTACTCCTTTTCATCTTGGCTGTGCTGTTTTAAGATGTTGTGCAAAAGAAACATAAGGCCAGCTCCTCTTTTGGTGTAAATCAGCATAGCTCTATTGCAATCAAGGGAGCAATGTCAGTTTATACCTGTTGACTCTGCTGCATCATGTAATTTTTCTCTTCTTCTTTGGCTGTGTTTGCATCAGAGAGAGACCCAAACCCAAGCCCAGGGGCTGATCACCCTGAGCTATGGGGGCAAACTTTTCATCGTCCTGAATTTAACCTCGCAGTGCAGGTCCCATATCTCCCTCATAGAGAACTGAGTAGGGAATGCTAACTTTTCTATAGGATTTTTAAAACAACCTATAGAATTCTCCTCCACCTTCTGTAGATTTGCACTGAGGTCATGGAAGTAATACTCTGAAGACAGCCTGACTGCACAGGTGTAGTTGAGGGTATGATCTGCCATGAAGAACCTATGGCTGGTGGTGATGCATGAGAGTGAAAGAACCAGTCTGGACTCTCAGAGCCCAGAGGGAATTTGAGGGACTGGCAGTTAGGAAAATACATCTTCTTGAATACAGAGCCCATATGATATGGAAATCATTGAGACACAATGAATATACAACCTCCTGGTGCCATTTTTACAGAGTCACTTTTCATGAAGAACTTCACTTTAATAGAGAAAGTTTGAGAAAGTAAAATGATTTAGTATTAACTCTACTGGATTCTATTAAACATCAACAAGTGTGCACCAAAACCACCGGGGCCCACCATATGAAACCAGATCAAGTTATCTTCTCTTTAGGAATACTTGGATCCTGTATTTTGTTGAGCGAGCCCCCTGATATTTCTATCACACATTAGTATCTATTTCACTGTAATATTTTGACACTGAACTTGCAATATATTATTTTGTTACTTTCTATAGCAAGTATCCTCAATTTTCTTCTCTTCTTTCTCCCTTAATTAACTGCCCTTTTATCTTCTGCCTGCCTCTCCCTTCAGTTTTTCCATTGATTATCTTTTCCCTTTCTAAATCTCCCTGTTGTTCTCCTGCACTCTCTCCCTCTAATTCAACCAGAGCAAGAGGTGCTACAGTCCCCCCACTAGACTTTGAAGTGAATTGTGCAGGTAATCTGAAAATAGTATGGATGCACAGATCTCCTCTTGGCTCATAGGGATAACATGATATGCAATTTAGTCCTGGCATGTTAAATTCCCAATCCAGAATGTTACCAGGTGCATAACCTGTGAGAAGAACAAAATGTGTATGTCCACTTTGTTTTTGTGTCTTATTCCCAGACAGCTAATCCATCCAGGTTTCTCTTTGATGCTTTGGTAAGCAGTAGCAGCACTCAAATGATGCAAACAACACCCTGGTGGATGGAATGTGTTACAGTGCTGAGCTATCGGCATTGCAATGAAGTAGTAGTTACCCCACTGAAGTACTGCCAACTAATTTAAAATTATCTAAATGCATCACTAACAATATAGAGACATTCTTAATTTATGCTGACGATTCAAGTACACTTTCACTCCAGGACCTGTTTTTTGTTTGTTTATTTGGATTTGCAAAGCACCTCTCCAGGTATTAACTCTAGGTATTAACAAAATGTTGAGGCTAATAATAGAAATCAAATATATCAAGCAAGGTTAGTAAACATGTGAATGTAATATAATTTTATGGCAGGCAGCTTTATGTTAAGCAGTGCTTTCAATTAACATACTTTTTGTCAAAGCAATCCTGCAGTCAGTATAATTACTTAGCTTACTTTTGCTTCAAGATTACCTGAAACCAAAAAAGAAAAAGTTTTGAGTTCTTGTTAGAAATTAAGAAGAAAAAGTTATAATATATTAATATTTCAGAATGTTTGCTGTTGCGAAAATGGTGGTTTCATGGTGAAATTTCTGAGCAGACATTCCTAATAAGTCTTCACCAGCCCAATTTATTATCTTTCTAGTTTTGGAAGTCATGGCAATGTTAAAATTATTACTCTCCTTTTTATTTTTCCATATGGACTTCTAGAAAAACATTGGGTGAGCCAAACAAGTACTGAATAAAGAGTGCTTGCTTTCACAGGGCATTTAAAGATGTGGTGTGAGTCCCACGGCAAGATCATGAGGTAATTTATTTGCCAGTTACAAGTTTACCACAGATATATCCTAATGTACATTGTGCAAGGGATGAGAAATCTTGTACACAGATGCATGCATTTCTTTATTCGTAGCAGTTGCTTTGTTTCATAAGCATCCTGTAAAATAATATCATTTAATATTTTCCACCAGTTTCCATGGTTGTGATGACCAAATGGCTTCACCAGAAGATAGAGTATGTTGGAGAAGGAGTTTATCACAGTGATATTTCTTTTCCTTTACTTCATGGCTTCAGAATTCATGGAGGAAGCACTCCTTTGAAAAGAAAGCTTCATTTGCCCTTCCTCTTGTATTCCAGTATTACTATTGTATCTCCTGTTCAGAAACAGAGGGGAACAAATTGCTAATCAAACGCACAAATAGAAAAGTTCATTTATATGTGAAGCATGTTAGCATAGTGATAAACCAGAATCAGTCCCTGGAGTCTCAGCACCCCTGAAGTTGAGTGGGATTGGGATAGGGGTGAGAGCTGAATTGTGCAGTTTGGATCGATCTTTATTTTCAAGGTAGGAGGGAAGACAAACTTGCCTGGGTTGTGCCCAGCACAAGTTAGATTATTAGCCACTGAAGAAGAATTTGAAATGCACCATGGGCCAAGTCCTGGTGCCACTGAAAATAACGAGTGTCATAAGAACAATTTTTAAAAAAGGTTTAAAAAAAGGAAAACAATGGGTGTTCTACCATGGACTTCAGTGGGGAAAGGATCTGTCCCTGTATTAACTGGATAAAAGAATATTTTAAAACAAAGGATTTTGGAGTCCAGACATTATCTTCTCTCCCCTCCATTCTCTATGTCCCAGCCTGACACTTGCTGTTAGCCAGTTGGCAAATCATTCTGTTTGCCTTCTTGTTGCACTGGATGTCCAGTATCCAGCAATAATTAATGTAGGTCTTGGCAAGCTTTTGCAGCCTACTTAAAGTACGGCTAAAGGCTCTGCACCTTTGCAGATGGAGATGAAGTGAATGCATCACATTATAGTGAGAAAAGAGGAGAAAATGTATACACTTTCTCAGGGCTTCTTCACCTGGCATGTCATTAAATCAAACTATCCAATACCATGTGGAAGATTAATGACAGATTTATACTTATTGCCCCTGAAAGAATTAATTGTGTTCCACTAAACGTGTATTGCAAAATGGACAGAAACAAAGAACAATACAATTTAACTCTCATGGGAAAACAGTGAATGTGGAAAAGGGTTGGGTTTTTTTCCCTTTAGAGATGTGAGAGACATTAAGATGGTGGTCTGAACTGGCCAAACCTTCAGAAGCCTCCCCACCCATCTTCCCACTCTTCCTGCCCTTTATCCTTTACTATTAACAATCGTCCTCCTGCTTACTGAGAACATTTTAGAGGACCCTTAGTGGCCGACTGCCCTAACCTCCAAGAACATCCTTTGTGGGGAGGCTCTGAAGCTCTTCCTCCAGCAACAGAACTGGGTTCCACTGCTGGCCCTTTTCAGCTTGCCTGGTAGAATTACACCAGATTGCACAGCATGCAGGAAGCATCCTGACATACAGAAACATTCCTTGCACAATATCCTAGCAGAAGAACCCTCTTAGACTGACCAGTGCAAACGGGTATCTCATGGATAGGAAAAACAGGAGGTACTTGTACTATAGTGGTCATGTACAATTCTCATGGGTAGTCACCTGTCAGGGATGGTATGGGTTTACTTGGCCCAGCCTCAGCACTAGGTGCTGGAGTTGATGACTTCTTGAGGTCTGTTCCACTTCTGTGTTTCTATGATTTTACATGCTGGCTGGTGTGTATTTATATGGTTGGCCTCTGCTGATGGAATCATGCTTGCTTGCTCACTCAAGTGTTTGTGATTATGTCGCCCTCTAGTGGATGGCAAAGAAAGAGGTGATAAGCCCTCTTAACACTGACAGGAGATGAAAATCCTCTAGAGATACAGGTCTGTCTTTCAAGAATAGAAGATCCAGATTCTTGAACCCCAGTGGTCATTTGTGGTTTGACTGACAAATATGAAGCATCTCTAGAGAGAGAGCCACAGACTAGTTACAAAGCAATGGCTGACAGAGGAGACAAAGACAGACTAGGCGTTTGGCTCATGAGTGCTGAGACATTAATAACACCCTTTTAATTCCTGAAACTTGAGTCCTTTCCCCTACCACAGACGTATGGAGCTTGTGGACATAAATAAAGTTATTATTTTACTAATGTAATGAGGATACCTTGCTCATTTACACTTCAAATGTAAAGGGAGCAGAAATGAAGGTATTTCCTAGAAAGAAGAGTCTTTTTTTTTAAAGTCTGAAAACTAAAAGCAGAATCGTAGAAAATCTGGACTGCAATAAAGAAAAGTGGAACTTGGATCTGGCGTGTTAGTTTCTCAGAGAACACAGGCGTTTTATAGTTTATTTAAAATGTGACTTTCTGGTGAGGCCCACCCCTGTATAATGCTAAAATTTATCACTTCCCTCCCTCCAGGGAGGTTCAGATCCTTACAGCTTATCATTGTAGGTACTGCATTCTCGATTCAGAAGCAGTTCCAGGGAAAATGCAGCCACTAGAAAGCTTCAAACTTGCACCCCTAGGTTCCAATACCACTTTTTAAGTGCACTGAGGTATGCCTTGCCACAGTTGCTGTGCTTCCTAATAGTTCACCACATTGTACTAAGGAAGTCTGGCTGAAGAATGCAAACATAGCACCCATAAAATGTGCAGTCCCTAAACTTTTTATAACTGTCTATGAACTAGAGTGCATACCATAAAAACAGTACTACACCAAAAGACGGTTAAGATTATGATCATGTTCCATAAGCTCCGGCATCATAAAATTTATTGGTAGCTTTCTTTTTTTCATGCACAAATCATATTTCAGTTAAAAATTCCACTCAGTTTCTACAGGCATGAATGTGCACTACCAATGGCATGCTGGAAGGCCTTTGATTCTGTAGCTTCAGAGAAACTCCTGCATGTTGAGAAAGAAGGGATTTTAAGCGCTTATAATTTTCTCCAACTCAAATCTGATTTTCACTTGACCAATGGAAGGCACAGTTGCAAGCAAGGGATTATGACTCTACTAAATTTTAAGTTTCAAACACTAATCACTGATGCTTCAAAGCTCTTTAAAACAAAACAAAAAAAGTTGCAAAAATCTTTTTCTAGCAACGTGAGGGTGTTTTTATCTCCCACGAGTATTGCTAAAAAAAAACCAAAAAACTTTCCCTTTTTCTGTCCAACTGATAATAACCCTGCCACAGATCAGCCAAAATGATATTTGACAAAATTATAAGCATCTGAAAGTGATGGTTTTGAACAAAAATTCATTACCATGCTTAACTATAGGCATTACTGGGTGTTCTGCCTGTAATAAAGACTGCATGAAGGTTTGGTATAGTATAACTGGGTTACAGGAACTCAGGTAGGATCACACAAATAATCTGTACTTAGTAGCCTTGATCCTGGAAATTGTTCTGGGTGGGTAGATGCCTGTCCCCGTGCAGAGCCCCCACCAGTGGGGTTCTGTAAAGCCCAGAGGCCCTCCCACATCCTACAGCTTGCAGGACTGGGAGCAATATTTTCTCTATCAGATTGGACTGTTGGTCCTTTAAATCAATATTCTGCCTTTGGCACTGAATAATACCAGCTACTTCAGAGGAAAATTTTAAAAATTGCTTCATGTACCTCAGCCAATTATTCTGTTGTACATTGTGGGGAAGGGATATCCTTCCTGAGATTTGGTGACTGGCCTACATCTCAAAGTTTGACATCTGACTACTGGGGACATGAAAAAATTCCTGAATCTGATTCACAATAATCAATGCTTGATGGACTTTCTTGGGAGTTCCAGAGCTTTCACAATCACAGGCCATACGTTGTTTGTGTTTCATTATGAACTGGGCAGGGCATTGCCTGTGAATGTGTGAGAACTTGCTCAAACCATAAGTAGGTGTTACAAGAGTGTTCTTTGCTGGTACATATGTCAATAGTCAGTTAATACATAAGGTGCCAGTAGATGACATGCAAGTTTATATGGCCTAGTTCTTGGGTTTTGATGAACTAATAAAATTACTTGTTGGTCTGCTTTGCAAATGGCTTCCCTGATGCACAGCGCTGCACAAGTTCTTAACATGGTGTGAGAGTGGAATCTGAACCCACACGTCCATATGAAGGCCAGAAAATGTCTTTCCTTGTGCAGCTCTTCACATCAGTTCTTACCAGTGGTGAAATCTTGTGAGGGGAACAGCCAAGTTGTTAGGAGACACAGGCTGGAGTTTGAAAGAAAACAATAAATTTATACTGTGACACGCACTTTATTGTGGGGAGGTGGTCCTTTGAGTAGCTTGATGCAGTATAATTACTTCTATGGTGGATCTCCTGTATGTTTTACTATGGTATTGCTGTGCTGTACTATAGTCCAGTAATTCTCAACCAAGGGTACACATACCTCTGGGGGTACGCAGAGGTCTTCAAGGGAGGACATCAACTCATCTAGAGATTTGCCTAGTTTTACAACAGGCTACATAAAAAGCAGTAGCCAAGTCAGTACAAACTCAAATTGCATACAGACCATGACTTGTTTATAATGCTCTATATATTAAACACTGAAATGTAAGTGCAATCTTTATAGTCCAGTTGATTTATTTCATAATTATATGGTAAAAAGGAGAAAGTCAGCAATTTTTCAGTAATAGTGTGCTGTGACCCTTTTGTATTTTTATGGCTGATTTTGTAAGCAAGTTGTTTTTAAGTGAGGTGAAACCTGGGGGTACGCAAGACAAACCAGTCTCCTGAAAGGGGCACAGTCGTCAGGAAAGAGACAAGGTGGGTGAGGTTATATCTTTTATTGGACCCACTTCTGTTGGTGAGAGAGACAACTTAATTCCCACAGCACGAAGAGTCTGAAGAGACTAGTAGCAGGAACTCACATACCACTGAACACACCCTCTGAATAAACATACATTGACAACTAACAAGCAAATATATATCCTATGTATGTTAGAAAGGCAATTGTTTTGCTTTCAAGCGATGCAGAGCTCTTCTTCCAGGTCTGGAAAACTACTCAGAATGTCACAGCAAAATACAAAGGTGGAACAGATTGTTAAACATAAGGAGTTGACAAATGTTCCTTTTTCTGTCAGAAATTGCCCTGTGTGTTCACATACAAATTATTTTATATCATTTAGTCTCATGCCCTAAGCCAGGATAATTAAACCACTTTGGAAGCAACTTTAGTTCTAACTTCACTCCTTTGGTTGTATGCCTCCTTTCCAAGCAAGTTCCCCATTTAGCATCTGGGCCTTTAAATTTTAGAGAAACAGTTAACTGCAGGCCTATGGAAGCC